TCAAGAGAAGACGATATAGTTCCTTCATCTGAATCTTTTGCAAGCAAGGGTTGTTCAGCAAATTGGATTTCTTGTCAGGCCAGTCAAATTGACAAGAAGGCAGATACTAGAAATATAGAGGAAGCTGAATCACCCCTTTGTGGTAACGGTTGTTTGAACTATGAGGTTGGTTTCTTCCGAATTCCTTACGTTTAAGTTTACTGCAATGCTGAATAATCAGTCACTATATGCTTTACTTTTTCTAACCTAATCTAATCTGGAGAAGTGATTCTATATGCTTGTGTAGTTGTATGTAATCAAGTGATTACACGTTTCTCTCGGTTCCTTAATTTCATATATGCTAATTTTACATCTTTCTCTGCCCTTTCAATCGAACGGCCCACACCATCTATTGTTAGATGTCCGATAAAGTCACACATCTTGCCTCATTTTGTTTTTCATGATCAAGGTGACAAATTCTCTCAGACCACAAGAGGGTTATCGACTATTTGGCCCTATTGGAGAGTGCCTTTGCCTTGAAACATCTCTCTTGATTTTTATGTCAGTAGAATGTATAATGGCTGGGTTTTAAAGTTGACATTGAAGTAAATAACGTCTACACTTTGCCCTATCATGTTCATATGAAGCTACCTGATGCATCCAGTTCTTTAATGAGCTATATTCAGTTATCTTGATGTTTCTACTTAAGTAGCTTATTCTGGGAAATTACCCCAGGCTTTACATGGATTAAACAAAGTCCATAATTTTCAGTTATTTACTGGTTATAAGTACTCTGCAGGAAGCTAGAGCTCGTTTAGGAAAATATGAATATCAGAAAGGAAATATAGAAGCTGCTTTACATGTTTTTGCTAGAATAGATACGGAGATTGTAACTTCTATGATTAGAAGTTCTCTTGCCCAAGGGGAAGGCACAACAAGAGACTTCCCCGGAATTATGCTAGGCCATCATTGTCTATTCAATCAGTTAGCTTACTGTTGGAAGCATTCTTCCTAAAAGCAAAGTCTTTGCAAGCTCTTGGAAAGTTTAAAGGTACGCTCACTATTGGCTTAAGATTTGATTCATAACATTAATTTTCTTTTCATCCTGCATATTGATGTGTCCAATCTTGCATATGCTTTTGGTTCTAGTAATTAGATGTGATGACTGAGTTTCTTTTCTTTTTTTTTCTCTCTCTTGCGAAATTGATGGAAATGGTTTTTATGGTCAAGCCAAAAGAACGTGCAGTTGCCCATGAGCACTTGCAAACATGACAGTGTCATCCTTTCTTGTTGGCTGTACAAAGCTTTTGTCTGTAGCTTTTCACTTCACTTGTGGGCTTATGTTAGCTATTTCAATTATCTTAGCAATTTTATCATCCTATGTGCCACATCACTTGAACTGGTTATCATGTTAAATTATTAGTATTCTTTGCTTGAACTTCATCACAAAGAGTTCTTTTTGCCAGTCATTCCGCTGACATTCCGATACAAATTTTTATGATGTCAAGCAAGAGAGTCATTCCTTTGACTTCTGGTCATTTAGAAAATTTAGGGGAAGTTCTGAGCTATATCAATACGAGGAGACAAAAGGCAACCTGATGTTGTATATTTCAAATCATTCTTGCAGAAGCTGCCCTATCTTGCCAGTTATTCTAGACATGGTTGAATCTTCATTACCCCGAGGCTTGCTTGGAAACTTTGGTGTTGAATGTAAATTGCAGGAGACTCTGAGCAAGGCAGTGGAGTTGCTTCCTGAATTGTGGAAACTTGCAGATAATCCACATGAAGCTATTATGTCCTACCGCCAGGCACTTCTTTATAAGTGGAATCTTGATGCAGAAACCACAGCAAAGATTCAGAAAGAGTTTGTTGTTTTTTCTTCTATATAGTGGATCTGAAGCAAGTCCCCCCAGTCTTGGTTCACAAATGGACACTTCATATGTACCCAGAAATAACATAGAAGAGGCTATTCTCCTTTTGATGATTCTGCTAAGACAGGGCTGTTCCAATAGAATTGAGTGGGATCCTTCAATTTTGGATCATCTTTCATTCGCTTTGTCTGTTTCAGGGGATTTGACAGCTTTAGCGAATCAATTGGAACAATTGCTCCCCTTCACTGTCAATCCAACAGAAAAGTGCCAAATTCTTGCTCTCTGTTATTATGGAGCAGGTAGGGCCTTGGCGGCATTAGGACTTCTTAGAAAATTGTTAAGTGGCAGAGAGGACCACCCAAAACATGTTTTGGCCTTGTTAATGGCTTCAAAGATTTGTTGTGAGAACCCTAGTCTTGCTAGCGAAGGGGTAAGTTTTGCTTGCAGAGTGCTTGAGAACTTGGAAGGAAGATGTGATCAGTTAGCAATCACTGCCACTTGCTTCCTTGGTCTGTCACTTTCAGCTCATTCAAAATCTTCAATTTCTGATTCTGAGAGGCATCAAAGACAATCTGAGGCACTTCACAACCTGGAAATTGCCTCTAGAATGACCAGAATGAGAAATCCCTTGATACTATACCATCTCAGTTTAGAATATGCTGAACAGAGAAAGTTGGATGCTGCACTTGATTATGCCAAAAGCTTGCTAGAACTGGAAGCAGGGTCTAATGTTAAAGGGTGGTTATTATTAGCCAGGATATTATCTGCTCAAAGTCGATTTTTGGATGCTGAATCTGTTATTGATGCTGCTTTGGACCAGACTGGGAAATGGGACCAAGGTATTTTGTTGCGAACAAAAGCTAAACTTCAGATTGCACGGGGCCATTTAAGGAATGGCACAGAAACGTATACTCAGCTTCTTGCTGTTCTTCAAATTCAGAGTACAAACTTCGGTTCCGAGAACAAGCTAAATGAGGTCTGTTCATTATTTTAACATGTAAAATTCTGAATTTTATGCATTCTGTCATTTATGATATATTTTCACCCCTTGAACATTCATGTTTTCCCAATCTTATGGAAGAAATATGGTTCGGAAAGAAGCATTGCTTCTAGTTGTTTACCGTTGTCTTTTTTCCCTTTTTTTTGCATTAAATTTGTGACAGGACATAAAAGATGATATCCAGAGCTTGGAAATGGAGATATGGCATGATTTTGCTTTCTTATACATAAGCCAGTCAAAATGGCATGATGCAGAAGTGTGTCTTTCAAAGTCTAAGGCCATCAAACTGTACTCTGCTTCTAGATGTTATGCAAGCGGTCTAATATGCGAAGCAAAGGGCCTTTATAAAGAGGCTCTGAAAACTTATCGTGAAGCTTTGGATATTGATCCTAATCACGTCCCAAGCTTGATTTCTTGTGCTACGGTTCTCAGAAGATGCGGTAATGAATCGAACGCAGTTGTTCGAAGCTTTCTGATGGATGCTTTACGGCATGATAGAATGAATGCTTCTGCTTGGTACCATCTTGGCCTTCTTCACAAGGCTGAGGGTACAGTATCGTCATCAGTGGAAGCCATGGAATGTTTCAAGGCTGCACACTTTCTTGAAGAAACTGCGCCAGTTGAGCCTTTCAGGTGACCAGCTCGTGCTCTTCCTGCAGATTGTCAAAAAACTCTTCTTTTGCAATTGGTATGTTGAACCACGTGTGGTTTTACTTGCTCTTGTCTGAGATAGAGGTCAGTTTGAAAACAAAATAAGGAAGTCACAGTTCATGACATTCTTTGATTTCCTTCGGTGCGAGCCCTGACTTTAGCTACTGAATGGAGTGAAAAGAAGTTTACACGTTGTATTGTTTGATCGTACAACGAGTGAACAAACGATTACAATGATGATGATAAAAAGTATAGTTAATACTGAATTTCTGAATATCAGTTGTGTCGCTGGAATATTTTACTTTGGTCTTTAAATTTGAAAATAGAGGCTGCTACCCAAGCAAGTAACATGGGGCAAAGGTTCAGAGTGCAGAAATTGAAGTCAAAAGTCCCAACTTTACCATCTCACAATTTTTTCGCAGTCAATCAGGAGAAGGAACGTAAGCATGAACGTAACGTTTATTCAATCAATCCTTGTAAGTGGGCCTGCGGCACGAGTTATTCATGCTTTTTTCTCATTTGAGAGAGTCTGAAACTCTGAATATGTAAAACGAAGAAAAAATATTTTTAAGATGAAGATAATGATCTGTGTGTAAGAATTATTATCTTTTGATGCTTTATTCTAATGATCTGCTACTCTATTCTCCTTGTTTTTATTTATAAACAAAATTAAAGTTTTAAGAAATATTTTTCACATTTCATAAAGTCAATGCTTATTTTTATTAAATAAATTTGTTTCATTAGTTATAAAGATAATTTAGTCTATTTTTTAAATTTTTAGACATAATTATTACACTTAATTAACTTTTTTAAATTATGTGAGTTAGTTATTTTCTTTTATACTTACTTTAGATTGTAATATAAGTTATTATTAATTAATTTATGTTTTTTAAAAATTAGTTAAAATTTTGATTTTTAAAAAATTTTCACCTTTTTCTAATCATGTCTTTAAATATAACAAATATAACATTTAATTTATTCAAAATATTACTATTGATTAATTAATTAATAAAATAAGGGTATAATTAAAAAAAATATATATACACTTGCTCAATGATCTATATTTTGGATTAACCAAAGTTTTTTAAAAATAACTTTATTTATATTATGGTTCAGAAAGTGTATTTACTATTTAGAAACGGAGTGAGAATTAGGTTCTCATCAATAGATCCAGGCAGACAGACAGACAGTAGATCAAAGTCGTGTAAAAGGATCACCCAACGAAGATACTCAGATGGCAATGGCATAGAGAAACCGGTTTCTAATAACAGCAAAATCAATCATTTAACTGCCTTTTATTTTGTTGTAAAAAAAAAAAAACGGCCTTTTATTTTTGTTGTTTGAAAAGATAAACTTGAGCTTTTAGGCGAACACTTATCTGCCTACCGATTAAATTAGCTGCAACGACTGATTAAAATATTATTCTGTGGAGTGCTATCACATTCAGCCAGGTTGAGCCGACAAAGCTGGGAAGCAGGAAATGAAAAGGCATAAAATGGCTAAAGCTGAAGCAGGCAAAAAGACAAGGCACGCAGAGGACAGAGAAAAAGTGTGTGTCTTTATATACCGAGTCCTTTGACTCGGAATCCCTCCTTTTCTCTCTCTGTTTCTCTTCTTGCCCTTTTGAATAGATAGATATATTGGGGGCAAAATTCTACGGAGCAGCCAAGATACGGAAAGATGGAAGGTAAGAGAGCGGAGGAAGCTGCTGGCTCATCCTCAGGGCTTCCCGAATCGACGTCAGAAATGCCTGAAAATCCAAATGAAGAGGAAGAAGAAGTAGACGAGGAGGAGGAGGAAGCCGATCATCATAAAACTGGTGGGGTAGTTAATGCCTTTGTTCCTGCTCCTCCTGTTTCTCTCAAGGAGCAGATCGAACTCGACAAGGTGATCTTTTTCGCATTTTATCGTTCCTCTATTTCCATATATGTATTTGGGTTTTCTGAAAGCTTTACGTCTCTGCGATCGAGCATCAATTTGAGAGAGTAATCGGGGTTTGCAGGAGGACGAGAGCCTAAGGAGGTGGAAGGAGAAGCTATTGGGTTGCTTGGAGAGTGATTTAGATGGTTTGTTTGAGGGTTTTGTTTATTCTTTATGCTCCATAGTCCATAGCACTTCTTGTGGTGGTTCTGTTTTAAGTTGCGTTCCTTATTGATGACTAGGGCAAATGGATCCTGAAGTGAGATTCCATTCCATTGGAATTGTGTCTGATGATTTTGGTGAAATTGTTACTCCGCTACCAGTGGATGACAACCAAAATGGTCGAATCCTATTCACTCTCAGGGAGGGTTCTCGCTATCAGTTTAAGCTCAAATTTAGTGTCCTCCACAACATTGTATCTGGCCTCGCATACTCCAACACGGTTTGGAGATCTGGGCTTCAAGGTACGCCTCTACTCACATGATCTTCAGTTTGCAAAATCACTATCGCGTTTTTTAAATATTGGGGTCTCGAAGCTGTTATCTTTCCCCAAGACTTCGTTTCAAGCTGGATTTGGTTTGGAAATTCGGGGATGATGCACATGATCGATGGTGTATTCAACTGACAGTAGTTCTCTCGGTCTCATAGCTTTATAGGCTAATCATATTGTTGAAGCGAAACATGTTTGTTCACATGTTGCTCAGTGTCTTGTTTCTCATGTATTACATTTACAATCTGGTTTAACTGTTTGGCTTTATTCAGTTGACAAGAGCAAAGGAATGTTGGGTACTTTTGCTCCTCAGAAAGAACCATATGTCCATGCCTTGAACGAGGAGACCACTCCATCTGGCGCGCTTGCAAGAGGTCTTTACTCTGCTGAACTTAAGGTATTGAGAAGCAAAACACTTCACACTTGAGCATTTGCATGCCTGGTTTTTGATTTCTGTAAACATAATGCTCGATATATCTAATTTCCTCCTGGTCTCGTGTTTAACAGTTTGAAGATGATGACAGAAGGTGTTACTTGGAGCTTAAATATTTGTTCGAGATTAAGAGGAGCTAGCCAGCCAGCCAGCCCTGGTTACCTGATAAATCTTTTCTTCTAGCATTTGCTTGTAATCCTTTCTTTTTGAAAGTAAACAAAGCTCTTGAGATGTCACTTGTGGTGCATTTTTATATTTGTTTGTTCACAACTGCAAAATGATTTTATTCTGATATGCGCACACAAAGAGCTTATCTTTCACTTGAATGGATTAGCAACTTGAAGCAAAAGGGATTTTGAAACTTAAGTGCTGAAAAATAGTTCAGCTTAGATAACCCATACGCTCTCGCATGTCCATCAATGTATTCCATGATAGTGATAGAGGACCCACGAAGTTGGGATGAAAAGTAAGGTTATCATGATTAGTTTGACAAATTGTTCCCGAGAAGACTGGACATTGCAATCACCTGTTTCGAGAAAGGAGCTCATAATTTCATGCGTTGCAAGCAAATCTTTAAAATGGGTACAACTACAACCAGTTTTGGGACCAGCCTGCAAGTATCAATTGTGGTGCACTGTAGCGTAAGATGCTCATGCTTAACTAGAAGGACTGGAAGATAGGATGCAAGGGGGTGTGTTTCTCCTTTTTTCCCCCCCTCCATTGCTTTTTCACTACAAATCTATACAGTTTAAATTAAATTTGTATTTTTAAAAATTATCAAATTTCAATTTTTAAACTCAATTTAATGGTCCAGATTTGTATTAGTCTCTTCTCTGTTTTTCTTTGGAAGGGGAAAAATCCAACTTCGGATATGAGTATTTTACACTATCATCTGTAAATTCTAAACTGGCGCTTGACGGTTGACACTGATTGGCCAACCTTCTTGTTCGACCATTCTCTTTCTTTAAGGTCTCTAATCCTTCCACCTTTACAGGTCACTGCGTTTGCTGGAAGTTGCTTCTTCACTCCTGCAACTTCAAGAAGATAAACTTTCATTTTGAATGATGAAACTGGCGTTAGGGATTTTCCAGGATCAGTTTCAGAATCAAATTACTGGGCTATGAATTTGTAAGAATCACGTAAGAAAGAGAGGATCGTGAATTGGATCGGTGGATTCCGGGCGAACTTAAGAATTAAAAAGATAATAGGTGGATGTTTGGCAGACACCATTATGTATTCATGCGACTTCCTTTTTGTCCCTGCATTCTGCGAAGATTTTTCTATACAAAGCTTACCGCAGCGTATTTCTCTTTGGAGAAGAAGAGGAAATAATATGCTATTGGCTTTGTTGTGATTTTTAAAGAAATGGAATTTATTACGATTTCTGCATACTTTGACAAAATATTTTATAAGCGTTACTGTGAAATTATTACTACGGAATTTCAAATTGCAGAGGCATGTAGCTTACAAAAATACAAGTGTATAGTATACTGTTCAGAAATTATACTCGTTAACTTTGGAAATGTTTGAAGAAAACTGAACTCATTCAAATCATAAGTTAATGGTAAATTGAAATTTTGTTCTTATGCAATAGGATAATTGGGAGCTTTTCAAGGTATAATTCATATTATATAACCAAATCAAGTGAACAGTTTAATATTTATTATATTTTGCATTATAACAAGTTTATTATTATTGTTAATAATATATTATTGTATATCAATGATAAATTTTTTATAAATTTTTAAAATTTTGATGATAAATTTTTTGTATATCAATGATAAATTTTTTGTGTATTAATATGGATCGATCGCACTTCTAAATTTTTAAAAATTTAATTGTTAGAAGAAATAAGTTGAAAAATTTTATCATTTTAAAATTAAACCGAAATCCCTCTTTCTTGCTCATGGCCTCATACACGTTTTACCTGTTTTAAAAATAAACCACAAAGTTATGGAGGCCAGACAAACTTATCATTAGTTGGCTTTTCTCTCAAGCTTTGCTTGCCACTGTATTGAAAATAAATAATAAACCGACAAAACAAACGCCGGCGGCTCAAGGGATCGGAACAAATCATTTTATTTTTAATATAATAATTAAAAGTTACTAAGCATTTTAAATCTTATTATTTAAAAAATATTTTAAATCTTAAATTTTTAAAATAAACAAAAACTTTCATTAAATTTCAAATAAATTACTGCCCATCATTTATTCATGTAATGTTGATCATTATATAGCTTAATTCATGTCACATATCAAGAGAAGATTAATATCACATCAATCTTTAATTAAATTTTATAAAGTCAAAAGTAACAGTGATCATATATAAATTTAAGGAAGTGGGTAATTTGCTATCCGAGTAATAATTTAAGGTCAATTATGCTCATTTTAAGAGTTTAGAATTCAGAATATCATTCGAGTAATAGTTTAGAGTTAATGATATTCATTTTAGGAGTTTAGAGTCTATAATGCCATTTGAATGATAGTTTAAGGTTTAGTCTGCTTATTAACTTAATAATTAATAAATACCCCCTTCAATCCTATTTATAAAATACCTTCTAGAAATAATATTTGGTTCAAAATATAAGATACCTTGTAATAGTTTAATTTTTTTTTTAATTTTATCCCTTCTTGATTGCGTTCAGGTATTTAATGTAATTATACTATTATTTAAAGTCAATGATAAAAATGATAATACAAATTACTTTTTTATGATATAAAAAAATTAATTTTTTAAGATATGTAAAAATGTTAAAAGTATCTTATAATAAAAATATGAAGAAATACAGTAACATTTGTTGACGGAGAAAGGAAGAACTTTCTAATGATTGAATTCAAATTTTTTGCCCCTGATAGAATGAGAATTCTGTAGAAGATTGATCATTGAGAAGCTCAGTAAATAATTTAACCCCATTTATTTATTTATTTTTAACGAAACAGGGAATGTGGCGCCAAAATTAAAAACAAACAACCCGTACAGGGTGATTATTTCGGTGTTCTCTGATTCCAAAGTTTCAACTGGGAAAACCAAAGATGATCGTCCCGCAATACGACGACGAGGGTTATCTACAAATGTTTGATCCTCTCAATTTCCTGCTTTTCTTCGTTCAAATAATTTCACCTTACGATTTACGAAAGCATTGCTTTTGCGTTTGTTGCTCGGACAGCATTTCCCATGGAATCTTCCAGGTTCCATTTCAGAGATCATCAAGAATTTCAGAGTTCGATGCATTCAGAGCCCAGCTCCTTCGTTTCTTCGGTTTCAAGTGACCGAGGGGATAGCGAGCCTGAGATTGAATCAATCACTGGACGGGTTTGAATCCCAAACCCTCTCTTCCTTTGTTCAATTGAGCATCTGTTTCCTTCCCAAACCAAAATTAATTGTATTTGTTGATGACAGGGCATCAAGCATCTCTGTTCTGAACTTCTGGAGCTTAAGGCAGCGGCAAGTGAAGACTTGCAGTCAAACATCTTAGCTAATTATTCAGCTTTTGTTAGGTAAAGGTTTTATGATAGAGTATAATAACGTTATGCAACTTATACAGCTGACCCACCTAGTGGGATAAGGTTTTTTGTTGTTGTTGTTGTTGGGTAAAGGTTTTTTACATTTCAGTTTCCCTTCGCTAGGTGCGCTTGCCCTTGATCTAATGTGATTGATTGTGTTTGTTGTGTTCAATGTCAAGGCCTGAAGGCTCACGTTAGATCTTGCTTCCCTCGTTTACATTTAAATGCTAACGAAATTGTTCATATTTTGCAATCAGGAAGATCAGGTGTACGATTTTAGGCTCTTTTTGCAGCAATAGTATTTTAGACCCAACAAATTTGAACTGCTTATTATATTTTGATGTGGTTTAATAGAATATAAGGTTGGGATATGCTTTGATACGTGCAGAATACCAAAGGAAGTGAAAAGAGTTGAAAATGAACTTCTGCAACTAGAGAACCATTTTATAGCCCATCAAAGACTAGTTAAGAATCTTATAGATGACATATATCCGAAGATACTATCAGAAGAGATCATAGATTCAACCTTTAAAGATACAATAGATGTTTTGCTATCTTCTCCTAGCGAACTAGAAGTTCACATTAATGATGTTTTAGAGAAGCTGGATGTTTATCTGTCTGAAAACCGGGTAGATGAAGCATTGGACCTCTTAGAATCTTCAGATGAATATTTTCAAAATATCCATTTCGAAGACCATTATCCAGAGAGCGAGATTACGTTATACAAATCTTTGATTTCTAAGAGGAAATCTACCCTTATACAACAATTGGCGCAGATAGCTGAGAGTTCAAAAATAGCGGGACTGGAGTTACACAAGGCGCTAGCTGGTATTCGCAGGCTTGGGGATAATCAACTTTCTATCAATTTGTTGCTCAAACATTACCATTTGCGTATTTCTACTAGAACTTATGAGTTGCAGTGGTCAAAATCATCTTCCAATGGGATATACATAAGAGAATTAGCAAGATTTGTATTTTCTACGATTTCACAAGCGTCAAGGAGCTTTGTCAAATTATGTGGAGAAAATTCTTCTTACGCCTCTGAACTTGAGCAGTGGACATGCGAAGAAACAAAATCATTTATCACTTGTTTGGAAAAATATGTTGAAGGCATCTCAGAGAAAAGTGGTGGGTTGTCCAATGCCATAAAAGTTGTGCAGTATGCAGTCTCATACTGTTCTTTGTTAGAAAATCACGACTTAGTGTTGCATCCATACTTGGTAAGGCATCTATGCCCCTGTATGGAAGAGGTCTTGCATATACATTTAAACCATTTTAAGAAAGTGATTGCTATCTTCGCCGGCAGTGATCCTTGGGTTCTAGAGAGATATCTTGTATCTGGACTTTTTGATGGAGGATCGTCATCTCAAGCTATTGGGCAACAATCGGAATATCGCCTACTAACTTCCAGCGGCCGGAAATTCATAACGCTATTGCAGGTTGCTAATTGCTCTCTAATTATTTTGGGTCTATCTCCTAACCTTTTTTTTCTTTTGATTTGGTACTTGATAGTAAACATGACATATTTCAGTCGTTACGTTTTTTATCAGGCCATCGTAGAAGATATATCTCCCTTGATTGGCCTTCAAATGGGAAGTTTAGTCATTGGTGGACTCACGAAACTCTTCTCAGAGTATGTTGTTATCCTTGAACAAGCACTCACATATAACACGAGTGTAATAGAGATAGATACTTCTCGAATTAAGCCGGCTGAGTCAGTGCCACAACAAGTTTCTATTTTGGCAAGTCTGTCAACGTTAGTACAGTTTCTCAGTACCATGGGTGAGAGTATCTTTAGGGGCACCGTTGACATATATTCAAACTCATTGGAAAGCCATTCAATCGATTGTCAGCAGACGCAGCTTGATGAATTTCTATTGTTTATAGAAAAGGGTTCTAATAAGTTGAGACATCAATTCTGCCAGCAAATCATACTCAGAGCATTGTCTATTCATTGGAGCCATGAAATTACTCTAGCTAGTCACGATGATGAACAGGGTGATGCTAACACAGTCCACAATCCAATGCCCTCTAGTGTTCTTCAGGTACGTACGTATGTTTTCTTGAAAATTGTCAGCGTAATGAATATACAGTCAGCAATACAGTTAACTTGAGAGATGAAGTCAAAGTCGATGAGCTGCTAAGAGGAAGCTGAGATTACTAAAACTCAAATTCATCTCACTTTTCAGCCCTTGTTGAAGTTTCCTTCTTAAATTTTTTAAAACTACATTGCGGAAAAAGATGTTGTAACTTGTAAATAAGGTACAAATAGTTGAAGGAAGTTCAAAGACTCTGCCATCTGTTTTTGATTCTAAGAAATTTCTGCTGTATTTTATATTTGATCTGATATATATTTTTTCTTTTTTAACTGCGGCAAGATTTTATTTCTAGAACTAAGGAAATTGGAACAACTTGCTGAAGGAAACATTTTGAAAGCGGATTGGTTGATGGGCTTAATAAGAGAGATGATGGAGTCCATCTTTATTTGGGTTTCCCAAAACAAAAACATTATTAGAAATGCAGAAGAGAATGCGAGTTCAGAACATGATGACTCCAAGCAGGTTTTGATCTCCCCGTCTCCCCTCCTCTTCTATTAATTCTATGGGTCTATGCTCAGAGAATTTCAGCAGCATTGCTCTTGATTTTGATTTTTCTATTTTCACAAGATGTAGCGATCTTTAAAGTTTCCTAAGGATAATCCACATGATTTAGAGTTTTTCATTTTGATGCCTTTGTCCATGCAGTGTGCACAATGTACATATGCCCTTGATTAACATGACGTTTCCTACTTTTTGAACTTGTTGCTTGTAGAGTGAAATAATGGCTAATTAGTTCTCATGTAATGAATTAAGATTGTGAACATCAGCTGGAATTATATTTCCATCTAACTAGCAAGTCGATGGTTGAGCAGTTTGTTCTGGATGTGCAATTCCTAATGGAAATTGCAATGTACGGAGGATACTTTTCCGATGACCCCTTGGCACTTCTCTCTCTCATGAAATCAACCTTTCTTTCAGCAGGACTCGACCCTTTCAAGTAATGCCTTCTCGTTACAGTGCTTTCCCAATGCAACCTTTCTTCTGAGTTTTGATGCCCTTCTCTTATTCCTTTTCAGAGATGTTGATGACGACGGATGGACGATTGATGCTTCTACCCAGACGATTGAAATGCTGCTAGAGATTGAAAAAACAAAACTTCTCCCTAAGGAGCACGCAGTTGCAATCGAAGAGGCATTGGATGAGGACGGCCGATCTGCACAGGCTGGTATTGGTGTTATTTCTCAGGAAGACGATTCACGTTCTTCAGGGAACGGCATATTTGCAGAGGAAGATGACGTCACCGAAGATGAGTCAGAAATTGTTACGGATTCAGAATCATTAGGTCAAGTAGAAGGGAATAGAGATAGTGTTGATAAAAACACTCGCACTGAATTGGAGGATAACAAATATGAAAGGGAATCTAATGCAGAACATGATGGAATAATGGAACCGATTAATGGGACCGACATTGGGATGCGAGGGACTGAAGATTCTATTAGGAAAGGGGGTTAAGAGGACGGAGATGGTGTTGAGCTTGATTTGATGTTCAATAAGATTGTGGCAGGGATTTAATGCGGCGATGCAGAGGCTCCAATAGAAGCTATAACTTGATGAGTTGGTAGACGATAGGAATAAGGACGAGGAACACCAATCGCAAATTTGCTCTAAATTCGTTTTCCTTAGCTCATTTAAACCAGTTTCTTCCAGAACATTAATAATATTAGTGGATACAGTTTTGTTATTTCTACATTTAATGCTCAGACGCCATTTATTACGGATGTTATTTCAATTGTTGTTGCGTGTGTTGTGTAGTTCCTCTCGTATCAATACAATGAAGTATAAACTAAAGGAAAATAAACTTAATTAAAATTAATTAAGCTAATTTAAATTTGTAGCAAAGCATATTTTTTAAAAAAATTTGATCTTAATTAATTGCTTATATGTTTCCTTATGAATTCCAAATTTCTCTCTCATTAGACAATAAATGAGAATTATTTCAAGAAAAGACATTTAATAATCCAAGAAGTTATTCATCACACTAAATCTTTGTATTTAATACTTTTACTCTTTTTTTCATAAGACAGAGTTATCACATTTACACAATCAAGAAAACTGCTTATCAAGGAGAATGACAAGTAAAGACTTTATAGAAAAAATTAATACTAATCAAGATTTTTAGTATTAAATAATAGAGAATGAGTATTGAATTTGAGAACATTAGTATTGAAGAAATTTTAATTAACATTAATATTCTTATGGGTCCTTACTTGTCATTGTCCTTTTTTAATATCTTTAAAATTATATTATCTTTTCAAAAGTACCCTCATTTTTTTCTCTCTCTCTCTTAATTAATTAAAAATTCTCCTTTTCAAAGGGAACATTTAAGTTACAAAAGAAAAATATTAATTATTGATTAGATTTTATAAATCGTCTTATAAATGGAAAAGTCAAAATCTTTTAAAGATTGTTTTATAGAAAATAACGGAGGGAATATTATAGAGACTAATATTTGTTCAAGATAAACTTGACTTCGTTCTTTTTACATGTGATGCACATTGGGAGTCTGTTGGACTAGAACTAGACTACGACCTTCTGGTATACAATAGACATTACTACCTTACAAATATTTTGCCCTTACCAGTTCTAGGAATGACTAATTAATCGGCTTTCAATTACATATGCATATGACATTGACATTAACGATGAACAACAGTAAAGTGATACAATTCTTTTCTTTTACTAAAAATTTAATGTGAAAGGAAAGTAAATAAACACAAATAAAAAATTTAAGATATATTACGTTGGATGTCCTGATCCTTTATGAACTATTGGGAAAGAAAAAATATATATTACTTTCAGCTTTTAGCCTTGATTAAGATTGGATTGGGTATACCGAAGCAAATTAAGAAATGATTCATGTACATTACACTACGATACATCTGAAAAGCTTTGTTTTACACCACATAGAACAGATGTTGGGTTTGCTCTAACTGTAGTTAATTGGCTGTGCTGGGAAGTGCTGGCTTAGGTCGCCCTTGTCCTGAGATGGAGTTTTCTTCGGTGAATCCTCCATCTCCATGTCCGTTTTAGTTTTTGCAACCTCGGCATTATACACGAATGATTTGGAAACAACCAAAAAGAAGAGAATGTTGAGAAAGCTCAGTACCGCTAAGAATGCATAGTAGTAATCTAAATGCGAGATATTGGGATTATCCAAAATCCAACCCTTGCCACCATTTCTCTTAGTAACATCAGCAACAGTTGACAGAATAAAAGAACTGATAAAATGTCCGATTCCCACGCTGGTTGTGAAATATGACGTCCCGAGACTTTTCATGCCTTCTGGTGCTTGATCATAGAAGAACTCTAACTTTGCATCTTCCACAAAGGTATCGACAATCCATGGCAAGCCGAACCGTGATCCCTCTTGGCCAATGCCTAGTCTCTACAGCATTGTGATCCCTCTTGGGTTCTTGGTGTAGCGCTGCATCACAGGAATGAAAAAAAGGTCATAGATTACGAGGCTTATCAGCATGAAACTAGTCGCAAATGCAACAAGACATGCTGGAGGGATCTCAAAACGTGGGCCTATATTCCTCTATAGTTTGGTGCCTTGGTTAACGGAAAGTGTTCCTCCTTGATCTATCAAGGTGCTTGGAATAAATGTCGCTACCAAAATTGGAATCATTTTCATCATTTGTTTGGTTTCTTCAACTTGGGTCACTGTATAAAGCATCCAAGGTGAAGTTTGGCCTGTCATCGTTGCAGCTTTGACAAGGAATCTGCAGCAAATTTCCAATACCGTTATATAATGATTTTCAACCCAAGAAAACAAGTTTACTGGCAAGTGGATTACCTTAATGAAGAAATGTGATCCATTCTGTATCTTCCCTTACTTAAATACTCGTTTACGCTAAGCTCATGTAGGTCTTTGGGGTCTTCTGGTACTTGGACCTTCCATTTCCTCAAAGAAGCCATAAAGACTTGAGCCATTCTAGTCAAAGGGCTGCCTGAGGGCAATTTGTGCCTATAAAGAGGAGTACCCACCAACAACAACAACACTGAGAAAGCGAGCCCAGCTGTCTTGTATGTAAACTAGGAAAGTGTTCTAGAATAGAGTACCAACGAAGATACTGAACATCTACTAGTTAAATAATGAAAGCTTCTGGGATTTCTCCTTTGGCTCAAAGTCATCAAATTGGTCTGCTCCCATGGTTGAGATGTTGGGCTTTATTCCTCCTGTGCCTATTGCTATGATGTACAAGTCAAAAAAGAACATACCCACTTGCAATGATGACGCTTGTTTGCAATCCTCTTCATTGACTCCTTTTCTGTATGGTGGTGGCATCAGTGCTGGTAAGGAAACTATTAGAGTCAGCAAGCACATCTCCTGTAGAAGAAGAAAATAATCATAAACAACAATAGGTTTATCTAGGATTATTGTTGTGTTCGATTGAGAGAAAATGAATCATGTTTTATTACCAAAAAGTAAATGACTGACGTAGACGCAAAGGTCCAATATCGACTGAGATGTGAATTTGCCATATAAGCCATTGCAACTGGCATCATCCATGCTGCACCAACCTAGTTGGTTATATTATTTGCAAATTTAACAGTACCCTCATGCAACTTTGTTATTAGATACAACACCAAGCTCGTTGAAATTCCATAGTATGCCATCCTCTGAAACACTTCATGCCCTATAAACACATGCATTTAACTATATTCCACCTAAAAGATGTGAGAATCATTCCTAGTCCATGAAAGTAATACTAAATTGGCTTGAATTTGTAGTTCAGGCTATAAAGACTGCATTTACCTATTATGAAGGAATAAGCTTTCCACCCTCCAGTCTTTGATCTTAATATTGGTCTGCCTTTAAGATCCACAGTACCATCCTTAGTGTAATCCTCTTTTCCTTCTGCAAGGCCTTTTTCTTCTATCATAGCCATATTATGCAGGAGAGGGAGGATTAAACAAGCTTAATCGAGTTCCAATGAGAAATGAAAGTGAGGCCTTCAACTTCTTTATTATGACCTTTATATGGGTGAAAGAATTATCTTTGCATTTAAAAGCCACGCTATCTCGGCCCAATTTAGATGAGCTAACTAACAAAGACACATCTGGCCATCTGACGATCGAATTTGGTTTTGCCCTACTTGACGTTGTCTTATTGTACTCAGCTACTTCATTTCTGTAAATATATATTTGACATTTGCCTCTTGATGAACATTATACTAGAGGTTGGTGAGAGATAGACATGTTCTCACAATAAAGTCATGAAGAGCTACATGCAACTTAAGGGGAAGAAAATGTCTTGGGCCATAGGTTTCATTGTAAATAATCAACTTATCTTTTATTAATTGATATTTGTCATCATCACTGCTGCCATGCCTTTAGCAGTAATATTGAATAATGAAAATCAGCTTCTGCCTTCAACATTTATTTTACGTAAAAGGATGATTCAGGCAGAAGTCATATAAGGCTGGCTATTTGTCACAGTTAGTGACCAGAACTCACGAGTCAACAGTGATCGTCAGAAACTTTACATGTAACTTTTTTTTTTTTTGCCTTTATTTTTATATTTCGTATCCAACCCCATTTTGGCTGGTGCGCAGAACTTAGAAACCGCTAAAAGCAAAAAAGTTTGAGTATGACATGACCAAGAATGCATAATAGGAATCTCAATTGGCAACATGCAGATTATCCAAAGTCCCGCACTTGTGTTCATTTCTTTTTGTGATACACATGTATATATGTCAGCAATGGTTGTTACTGACAAGTTATCCTATAACGGCACCACTTTCCTTGTTCAAAAAATTACTAGATTTGAACCTAGCATTTGATGTAATTGCATACACGTACTACGTGTCTCCCTTTCTTGTACACACACCAGTAACGGTTGATTATAAACTAAAACTATAGTAAGAAAATGTCCAATCCTGACAATGTCTGCAAAATATGTTGTTTCTATTGGATTAGAGTATGTCTGATAATTTAGGTAAAAAGAGGTACGTCTGATAATTCATGATCGATTGGGTTTTGAAGTAACGTACTTGTACGACAAGGTGGAATGCACTTATACATATCGCCATGCATGCATGCAGTTATCTTTAAACATTGTCATATTAAAAAAAACAAATTATAAATCTGCATTGAATATAAAAGTTAATTCATGAAAATAAATTACATTAAAATGTCGACACATGATTTTTTCCTTAAAACAAATTAAACAATAGTATTTGATGTAATTTTAATTACAGTATAACGGCATTTCATTTTCTTCATTGATATTTTTCACACTTAAATTAACAATTCAAAGCACAACACGTAATTTGTTGTCATTTTGACACATATACACACAACAGTATGGAGGAAACAGAGAGAAGTTTGGTTTGCCATAGGACTAGGCATGCATCGTCACTCATCAGGTTGGTGCAAGTGCTAGCTTTCCATGAGTTTTATGGACGAGCACTCCATCTCGAACCTCATTTTAGTTTGTGTTAAGCCAGCATTACACACACAGAATTTAGAAACCACCAAAAGCCAAACAAGGTTCAGAAAGCTAACCATGGCCAAGAATGCATAATAATAATAATAATCCAAATGGGATAGGTTCAGATTATCCAAAATCCAACCCTTGTGTCCGTTTCTGCGGGTGATATTAGCCACAGTCGATAGAATGAAACTACTCAAAAAAAGATCGATCGCTACACTGGATGTCAGATACGTTGTTCCAAGACTCTTCATGCTTTCTGGTGCTTGATCATATTC